AACTTTTACCTAAGCTATATTTCACGTCTGCACCCCCCTTTAACCCCCAAACTGGACCTGGGACCGTCTAAGCTGCACTTCACAGTATCAAAAATGACCCAGTAATGATCCGGCTCAATAAAAGCGATGACGACGTCTCTGATCCTTATCGACGGTAAAGGAAGAGAAAAAACCTAATTGGACTGCAAGTTAACGAGCGGTGAGATAAACTCGTCTTGTTTTGCATAATTCTATCTCACTTGGGGGTCCTCATAAGCAATAAATGTAATACTCTTCTTTGTGTGTATTTACTCTCTCTCTCTCTCTCTCTCTCTCTCTCTCTCTCTCTCTCTCCCCATTTATCATGCCTTCAAGTCCTTCCTTCTTCAATTGTCACATCTCTGTATTTACCCTCAATTATCACACCTACCCTTTTGATTTATTAGTCTTTATACTTCCCCTCAATCATTCAGACATACTCCTTATCCCTTAATTATCACATATATTTTCGTTCATTTTCCTGAAGACTTTATTTATTATTTTTTGTTTTTCTATTAAATAAAGACAAAACAAAAATATGAAAAATAAAATGAATGAAAATTAAAATAGTGGAAAAAATAATATAAATAGAATAGAAGAAAATTAAGATGAAGTAAAAAATAAAGAAAAAATAACGAAAAAATAATAATAAATAGACCCGTTAAGACATAAGACAATAAAGACAATAAGAGGATAAAGGGAAATAACCTTCTGTTTTTAATTTCATCTGGAACAGTGAGGGGTCATCCGGTTTTCTCCCTTACCCTCTTCTCCCACCTCTTCCCCTCCTCTTCCTTCTCCCCCCCCCCCCGTCCTATTCTTCCTTCTCCCCTCTTCTTCCTTCCCCTCCCCAGCTTCTCCCCTCCTCTTCTCTCTTCTCCCCTCCTCTTCCAATCTATTCCTCTCCATTGTTTTCTCTCCTTCCCTCCACATCCTTTTCATCCTCCTCTTCATTCTCGTCCTTGATTTCCTCCTCCTCTTCCCACATCATCGTACTTTCCTTCCATAATCTCCTTCCCTCCTTCTCACCCATCTTTCTTCCCCATCTCCTTCTCTTCCCTGCTTCTCCCCTTCACACTTCATTTTTCCCCTTACCTCCCATTTCTCGACTCGCACACCATCTCTTTTTCCTCTATCCATTTAATTCCATCCTCTTTCTGCCACCTTTCCATCCTCATTCAGTCCTCTACTCCATCATCCCATCGTCTCCTTCCATCCTCCCTCCATCCTCCCTGCACCTCCCTCCATCCTAACTCCAGCATCTCACTATAGGTTCCCCCCCCCTCTCGTCTTTCATCCTCCATCCTGACAAACAAAAGACGATCGGCACACAAAGGCATCGTGGCGCACATCTCCCGAGACGTCATGGCGAGAGGCGGGATCCGATTCTGTATACAGTCGAACCCTGAGAGTCTGACATCTCATAAGAGGTTCCAGAACACCTCAGCCAGGAAAACTTATTATAGAAAAATCCACAAGATTATAATTACGTGGTTGTTCTTCATCCTCGTAAATATAAAAGAACATTGAGAAAAATAAAAGATTGAAGACATAATGTTTGTAATAGCGAGGTCTAGCCGATACACCCTGCTCCTCCGTATTCAACATCTATACACCACGAAGACCCCATTACTACGAACACTTACTTATAACAATGACCTTCAAAATGCAGTAAATAATATAACAATATATTCGTCATTTTGTAATTTGTTTTTGTTTTTGTTGTCTTTTGTTTCGGTTTTTGTCATAGAGGTGTAAGATTAAGGACTAGTTTTCTCTAAAAGGGGTTTGAGAGCCATGGTTCTGCCCGGGGAAATGGCGGAGAGCATCCTGAATTTCATGCTCCAGATCTCTCCAAATTGTAGGAGCTGGCAGCTAGGAGAGAGAGAGAGAGAGAGAGAGAGAGAGAGAGAGGAATGAGTTAGGAGAGAGGACAAGGCAAGGGGAGTAGGGGGGGAGGAGATGGGTAAGGATGAGGATGAAGAGGAGAAGGAAAGAAAGAGAAGGAGGAGATAAAGGAGGAGGAAAGAAAGAGAAGGAGGAAAAGAGGAAAAGGAGGAGAGGAAGATGATGGAAGGAGACAGAGAAGGAAAAATGAGTAGGGAGAAAGTAAACAACAAATGGAGGAGAAGGGGAGAAGGAGGAGAAGAGAAAGGAGAAAAAGATGTTGCATGAGAGAGGGAGGAAGGAAAGAGCAGGGCGAGAGAAGAAAGAGAAGGAAAACCAGACAAAGATAATAAAATGGAAGAGTGTGAACGAAAAGATCACAGAACAGTCCAACAAGGGGCCAGGAGGGGGGGGAGAGAGAGAGGAGGAGGGAGGAAGACCCGTGAAGGAGGATAAGGAAGGGGGAAGAGGAGAGGAGAAGGAAGGGGCGAGAATCCTCAACATAGAGCCACAAGGGAAACTCCGCACCTCCAACTCCCAAACATAAAGTCGAGTATTAAAACCCCTACAAAAAAAAAACAACAACAACACTCCTCCTACAAAAGTTTATATCAAAAGGAGAAAAAACTCTAGAATGTCATAAGGAAGAGAGGAAATTTCTGAAGGGTGGGACGAAGAGAATAAATAGCAAAAAAAAAAAAAGAATAAATAAAAAAGAAGAAACTCGTTAGATCTCTCTTCGCTCTGTATGTAAATTCCAAGGAAGAGAAAAAAATCGTGTTTGATATTTTCCTTTCCTTGTTTATTTACTTTCTTAGGTGGGGGGAGGGAAGGGAGGAAGGGGGGGGGTATTGAGGGAGGAAAGAATGTGAGGGTGATGATCAAGGTAATGTGTGGGTGTGTGAGAGAGAGACTGATGATGAGATAATTTGACTGAGTTTTGGGAAGTTTTTTGGAAAAGGTATGTGAATAATACTCGGTAAAATACGTCTTGTCGGAGTTACTGGGAGTGAAGTGAAGGATAGACAATGATATGGCAACCCGGAAAAAACAACACCAAAAAAGTAATCAAAATCAAAAACAGAAAGATGCAAATGGTATAGTTTCATGTATGTATGTATGTATGTATGTATGTATGTATATATGTATGTATGTATGTATGTATGTATGTATGTATGTATATATTCAACACACTCGTAGCCATTAAATACAAGCCAAGAGATGTGGCTGTGCTGCGGGAATATGTTGGCACTGTGGTTGGCACTGATGTTGGCACTGTGGTTGGTATTGATGTTGGCACTGTGGTTGGTATTGATGTTGGCACTGTGGTTGGTATTGATGTTGGCACTGTGGTTGGTATTTATGTTGGCACTGTGGTTGGTATTTATGTTGGCACTGTGGTTGGTATTGATGTTGGCACTGTGGTTGGTATTGATGTTGGCACTGTGGTTGGTATTGTTGGCACTGTGGTTGGTATTGATGCACTGTGGCTGGCTGATGTTGGCACTGTGGCTGGTATTGATGTTGGCACTGTGGTTGGTATTGATGTTGGCACTGTGGTTGGTATTTATGTTGGCACTGTGGTTGGTATTGATGTTGGCACTGTGGTTGGTATTGATGTTGGCACTGTGGCTGGTATTGATGTTGGCACTGTGGTTGGTATTGATGTTGGCACTGTGGTTGGTATTGATGTTGGCACTGTGGTTGGTATTGATGTTGGCACTGTGGTTGTCATTGATGTTGGCACTATGGTTGTCATTGATGTTGGCACTGGGGAAGACGACATATCTGGCACCGACTCAGATAATATAACAGAATTAAGATGAATCATCCTCACCAGTTATTCCTCTTCCTCTTCCCCCTCCTTCATCCTGCGGCATCTCTACTACTCCTCCTCCTCCTCCTCCTCCTCCTTCTCCTCCTCCTTCTCTTTCTTCCTTCTCTTCCTCATCCTCCTCCATCCTTCTCTAGCTTCTCAGGAACTCCCTCCATCCTCTTTCCTTCCTTCCTCCAATCCCCCATGCCTTTCACCTTCTCCTACTCCTCTCTCCCCCCCTCCAACTCTTCCCTTCTCCTATCTCCTCTTCTTCCTGCTGCTGCTCCTCCTCTTTCTCCTCCTTCACTCCAGCAGTAGCAGTAATGGTGGTGACGCAGCGTTGAATAATATTAATTTATCAGAAGGAATTTTTTTTAGAGATGAAGCACATGGGACCAAGCTGTACGTGACGGAGGAGAGGAAAGTGGCCCTGCGCGTGTTGTGGCGCCCCCTCCTGAGTGCCACAGACGTCTTACAGTACACATACACACACACAAATACATATATACAGCAGCGTCCGTTTATCCGTGTGTGTGTGTGTGTGTGTGTGTGTGTGTGTGTGTGTGTGTGTCTGTCTGTCTCAGGGTGTGACGGTAATTGCGTTCTCCTGCCGCCAACTTTATTACGAGGACAATTGTAACTCTCCTTCCTTATTGTTTTGCCTGCTGTCCTCAGTCTTGTGTTATCGTGTGTTGACGGCCCCTACGATCCTCCTTCTCTTACGATTAATAAAATGTATTATTTGACTCCGTGGACTTATTTCCTGACTAATGTACACATACCCGATGATAGGGATACCATGTACGTACTCCCTATCTAATGTACACTTACCATAATAGGGATTCCTTGTACAATATCCGAGGAAGACTTGAATAAATGCCCAACACTTCGCTTACCTTCTCAACGGAAACCCGGCCACCAGACGCTGAAAGAGAGAAGAAGAAAATGTCAATTATTTTCTCTAAGGTGTAAACTGTATATTTAACAGCAGTAGTATTATCATTACCAGCAGAGAAATGGTGACAGCAGACATAGTAATACCTCCACCGGCAGACAAGTTTACCAGCAGCAGAAGACAACAGCAGCAACACCTCCACCAGCAGACAAATTTACCAACAGGAGACGACAGCAGGAGCAGCAGATAGTCGAGTGGTAGGGGACCATTAAAATCGGCGTCAAACATTAGTGGCGAGTATGGTGGAATGTTGAAACCTCAGGATCTTCGGTTCGGTTCCCTTTTCCCTCACCCCCCTTACCCTTAGCGTTTTAGTGCATTGTTTTAGAGTCCTGAGTCGTAAGAGGACCCTGAGTCGTGAGAGGGCCTTGAGTCGTGAGAGGGCCTTGAGTCGTGAGGTGGTTCTGAGTCGTGAGGTGGTTCTGAGTCGTGAGGTGGTTCTGAGTCGTGAGGTGGCCGTGAGTCGTGAAGTGGTCCCAGGTCGTGAGGTGGCCCTGGGTCGTGAAGTGGCCATGAATCGTAAGATGACCCAAAGTCGTGAGGTGGCCGTGAATAATGAGGTGGTCCTGAGTCATGAGGTGATCTGAATCGTGAAGTGACCCCAAGTTTTAAGATGGCCCTGAGACGTGAGGTGGCCCGAATCATTAGTTGGCCCTGAGACGTGAGATGGCATTAGGGTCAACGAAGGTAAAAAATAATGAAATATAAATAGGATCTAACAGCTATTATTTAGTTAAATGGGAACTATAATTGGACCTATTAAATGTTAAATACCCCAAAAAAGGTTAAGTGGTGTCAGTTGACGGGTTTAAGTGGCCAATCTCAGGTTAATGGCACCAGTGAAGGGACTAAGTGGCAGAATTATTAATGATGTAAAGAAATGGGTTTATTAGTGCTAGCAAAGTGGCACAGTAATAGCAGGTTAAGTGGTCAAGTGACATAAATTGAAGGAACTCAAAAGTAACCGGGAAGTTGCAGATTGCCACTAAATCAAGGAGTTTTTAATGGCACAATATTAAAGGGTAAAGTAGAACCAGATTAAAGGGCTAAGTGGCCGTACATTAAGGGGTTAAGTAGCACCAAAATAAATGGCATAGTAGTACCAGATTTAGGGTCTAAGTGGCAGTACATTAAGGGGTTAAGTGGCTGTAGATTAAGGGGTTTAGTGGCGCTAGTGACTGGGTCAAGTAGAGTGGAAAAAAGAGTTAGCTCGACGCCATAACCCACTCACTCACAGAGCCCTGTCGGTCCTGCCTTAAATTGGAAATTTTCATGTGACTCTTATTGAGATTTTATCGACTGTTTGAGAGATTTTGGCCCAGAGTGTATGATATACTGAGGGGGAGAGAGAGAGAGAGAGGGGTGGGAGAGAGGACATGTGTGCGTGTATTTGTGTATGTGCGTGAGAGAGAGAAAGAGAGAGAGAGGAATATGTGAGTGTGTGTTTGTGTGTAAGAGAGAGAGAGAGAAAAGGGGAATGAATTTTAAGAACATATTTTGGTGATTTTCTTTTACAATTTCCGTATTTTAATCTGAAACGAGGAAATGTTTTTTTGTTTTGTTTTTAAGTCGCTTCCTCTCATTCTATTCAGATGTTTTAAGTATCTGATTTATTATAACTTATAAATATACAACAGAAAATTATTATATGTCACTCAGTATTTTATTTTATCGAAGAAACATATAGTAATAATCAATAAACTTAAAATATTGATAGGATGATTTTATTAGTACTATACAGCCTTAGTTACTAAAGAACTTTCCTAAATTAAATAGTAAATAGAAACCAATCTGTAATGTTAAACCTTTTAACTCTTGAGCAACACAACGCCTATAGTTACCTCGATGGTTTGCTGGAGGAAATAAGTGCTTAAGGTTGCCCCATAACCATCAACAGAACAATAATTACACCCCAAGAAACAGGAAACGAAACCTGACCTCATCACATAAGGAGTTAAGAAGGAAAGAGAGAGAGAGAGATAAGCATGAAAGTCGTGAACCCTGTTGAACCTTTCAGCTCTTCCAGGTGTAGCTCTTTCGGTCAGGTTCTCCCTTAATACTTCAGTGGCACAAGAGACCTCGCCAGCCACTTGTCATCATATCTCAGCTGATTTACGCCAGGAGGAGGAAGGCGTTTTACCTTTAGAGTCAAGTGTCGAGGAACCTCATACCAGCTCCTCCTTGGGAATGGTCGAGTAGTCAAATCATCAAAATATGTATCTCTGTCTCCTATATTCTAGACGGAGGCGTTATCATCCCTCAATCAAGGGACAGACTCCATGTTTTCTCTCCTATCTGGCCAGTCGACCATCTTGATTAGAATGCTATGTAAATTTTGTCCGCGTCGTGTGATAGAGCGATAATCAGCAGGGAGCAGCTCCCCAGGTGCCCCTCCCCCCCAACCCCACCCCTCTTACCTTAGCCACCCTACCATTCCTCCAGTGACGCTCAGACTAGAATTTTGTTTCCTTCAAGGACAAATGAGGCTTTACGGTATCCTGGAATCATCCTACACACTCGACAAAATAAAGCTTCATGAACCACTAATAACTGTTTACAAGTGAGGCTTCGTGTAAGCCTTGGGAATCTGCATACAACTGAAGCCTCAATGGAATATCCTCTCTAATGCGTCTGACAACCTCGACACTGTGGCTTTCCAAATTCCTGGAGTGAGAAGTGAGGGAGTGATGGGGAAAGAACTACCTCTCTCTAAAGCAAGTGATGGGGAAGAATAGTAGATGAGAAGAAATAGAAGAATGTGAAGTATAGTCAAATGGAGAAGATATGAATGTGGTAACGAGGGAGGAATAGGACGACACAAAGGTGAATAAAAGAGGACGAAAGAGAGAATTACGCGACGAGGAAAGAGTGCAAGTGTGTAATAGAGTAAATCTGATGGAAGGGGAAGAACTGGTGGAAGAGGAGAGCAGATGTGAACACGGGAGAGAAGTGTATTTAGGAGAGGATGGTGTGTAGGAGGGGCGAGGCGAGTACACTATAGTGTGTGGGCGAGGAGATAAGAGTCTTTGGTGATGGTGGTGGTAGTGTAGGGGTGGTGATGGTGGTGATGACTGTAGTGGTTGTGGGGAAGGGGTAGTGATGGTGGTGGTAGTGTAGGGGTGGTGATGGTGGTGATGACTGTAGTGGTTGTAGGGAAGGGGTAGTGATGGTGGTGGTAGTGTAGGGGTGGTGATGGTGGTGATGACTGTAGTGGTTGTAGGGAAGGGGTGATGGTGGTGGTAGGGTAGGGGTGGTGATGGTGGTGATGACTGTAGTGGTTGTAGGGAAGGGGTAGTGATGGTGGTGGTAGTGTAGGGGTGGTGATGGTGGTGATGACTGTAGTGGTTGTAGGGAAGGGATAGTGATGGTGGTAGTAGTGTAGGGGTGGTGATGGTGGTGATGACTGTAGTGGTTGTAGGGAAGGGGTAGTGATGGTGGTGGTAGTGGTAGTTGTAGTGTAGGGTTGGTGGTGGTGATGGTAGGGGTAGAGATGGTGGTAGTAGTGGTGGTTGTAGTGTAAGGTTGGTGGTGGTGGTGGTGGTTGTAGTGGTAACATTGACAACCTTCCTCTCCCATCAACCCCCCTCACCCCACCCCCCTTTAAACTTACACCTGATCCTCCCCTCCCCCCCTCAATAAGCAAGGGTGAGGCGTTATGGGGGGGGGGGAGGAAAGGAGGAGCCATGCGCCTACACACACCACGTCCTATCCCCTTCCACCTCCTCCTTTCCACCTACCCCCCCCACCTTCCACCTCACCTCCCCCTTCCCTCCACCTTCAATATATCACCTGTTTATAGCATCATAAAAAACTTATACCAACCAACGGAAACGCTGCTTCGACAAATATTCCTCAGGGGGTGATCTTGCTTACCCCCTAAACCCCTCCCTCTTCCCCTCCCCCCTTTATCCTTCACCCCTTAAAACCACCTCCTCTCCCCTTTCCTCTTACTCTCAAAGCCTTTCCCACCACCCACTAAACTTTTCTTCCCCTTACTCCCTCAACCCTTTTTTCTCTCATTCCCTGAGCCCTATCCTCTTACCCCTTAAACTCTCTCCCCTTACCCCTAAAACCTCTTTACATTCGTGTGAAACTTCTTTACCTGTATTTGTATTCACACCTGTACCTGTACTTACAACTGTATCTACATTGTTGTTTTGGGAATTATTACAGTGAAATTATGTAAAGTTTCTGAATACATTTCCCTGAGCTCGTATGAAGGGAAAGGGAGAGAGAGAGAGAGAGAGAGAGAGAGATAACCACCGGAACACAACATACAAGAAACTCTCCACCATCGTCCCTGACAAATGGTTGATGGGTCAAGTAGCAGAAGATTAAATAGCCAATATCTCTTCTCCCCTGACATGAAGACACACATCTCTTGGCTACTTATCTCCTCTTCTCTTCTCCCCTTTCTATTTTCTCCCCTCCTCTTACCCTTCCTCCTAATCAATCTCTCTCTCTCTCTCTCTCTCTCTCTCTCTTTGTAACAGAGACAAACGTAAATAGAAATCCATAATTGTCTCCTATTTAGATCAGAGGCCCTTGAATATCCATGATATTAGCTCAGTCCCCCCACCCCACCCCCATTCCTGGAAATGAAATGGCCTTAGGGAATTGGGGTGGGGAGAGAAAGAGGAGAAAAAGGAGGAGGAGGCGCAGGGGGAGGATGGGTGGGATGGGAAGATGGTGTAGGAGGGGACGCCAGCAGCAGTAGGCCTAGCATACAAATAGGGTCTTTTGGGACTGTCCTCCATCTCGTATGTCCAGTCAGAAGTCTCTTGTTAATGCAGAGATGGACGTCCGTTCCAGAATTTATGGTGTAAAAGGAGGAACGGCGCCATTTTGTGAGCGGAAAAGTGAGAAAAAATCGTCATTTCTGCCAGGGAGAGGAAGGCACCCCCCAACCCCTTCAGGCACTCCCGTACTTAATATTATCTACTTATGTATTAATTTATTGATTAATATATACAATATGTAAACCTATGTAAACACAGAAGTAGAGAGAATAAGATATACACCACCAAGGAGGCATACTGTTCCTTTTCGTTTCTGTTTCTCTTCTTTATCTCTCTCTCCCTAATTCCCTGGGTTTCCTTCAGTGCCACACCCCTCCTTCTCTTCCTCCTCCTTCACAGTCCCCCCCCCACACCCATCCTGCTATATAATGGAGGTGCTTCCCGTTCAATTACGTCCTATCCTTGGTATCTAAGATAAGAAAACAGAAAAACTTCCATCTCTGGGCCGAGGGCTAATGAAGACACCAGACCCTCGGCCGGCAGTCGTCATTTTTCTTCTGGCCACAGTCGACTTGGAGAGAGGGATCGTGTGTTGACTTTTCGCTAGACGTATTTTTTTCCCTTCTTTTTTCAATAATATCAAGCTTTATCCTCTATTATTATACCTTCTACGATGGGAAGAGAAATAAACTAATAAATTATATTACTGGATTCGTGAATAGGGTAGAAAGTGGAATATTTAGTGGTTAAAGAGAGAAAATTGAACTTGTAAGACGGCGAGTGAGGGATCTGGCGACATGGCAACCCCCCCCCGAGCCGTTAACGATCTTCCCCTAGAATCACGGAGGTTGCTGGTTCGTCCTTAACTGCTTCTAGGGGAGAAGGACCACAAAATGCACTCGCGACTTTACTCCATTAATGTTTGCCTTTTTCTTATACGCCGTTGTCATGTAAATAGTGATGGACTATGAGAGACGCGGCCGTGTGAGTGAGTGTCTAAGTGTTGGTGGCCTTGGAGAGGAACGTTCAAGAGTGCTCGGAATTTGAAATAAAAATGTATATTTATTTGATTTACAAGTTTCTATGTTTTGTTTTGTTTTTCTTCTTGCTTATTTCGATATATATCTCTATATCTACCAAGAAATAAAAGAAAATAATAGAAATTGTGATAAATAAGAGATAGGGAAGTGACATGAACTAAGATACGCAACACTCAAGTCTCACACCAGGACACGACCCCAACACACCAGACACCAATAGCGTTTAATTCCTCAAATCAATTCGAGGATAAAAATTCATTGGCCGTATCATAAGCTCCTACACGCATCATGGTCTCATTAAAAGGGAAAATAAAAATAGTGTAAGATATGCACCCTTCCTCCTCCTCCCCCCTTTTTCCATAAGAATGTCGGCTCCTTTCCCGAGTTCATAAAGGTCACGAGGGGGTCAACGAGACTGTGAAAACCACCGTTAAGTACATGTAGGAGTGTCTTCATCAGCAACCACCTGGAGCCCTGACTTGACCCCTGCCTCAACCACATCACCGCCACCACAGCCACTACCGCCGCCAGCACCGCCACCACTACCATCACCGCCACTACCACCACCATCACCATCACCTCCACCACCAACATCATTTTAGGAATGGGGGAAGATCAAAGGTTGTGGAAGCCAACCAAAACATTTAGTCCTTCTGGAAGACCGACGCCCACCGACCTCCCTTCCCATCCCTTCTCACCCTTAATCGAAATTCCTGACGGAGAGTAAGAGGTTACGATGGCCCCTATCTTCTTCCCTATGAAACAATGAGAAACATTCTGAAGAAATTCCAGGCAAAGGGGAACGATTGCTATAATCTCTCGTCTCCCCAAAACACCTGTGGGAAACATTCCTAACGAAGGGAAAAGACCACGAAGCCCCTATGAAAAAGCTAGAGACATCTTGCCGAAATTCCTGACGAAGGACAACAGCTTACGAAGGCTTTTCTCCTTCAACCAACAACATCTTTCTATAAAAATATCTACGAGAAACTATCGGATACACCAGAATCGTATAAATCCAGTTACGCCTCTCTCTCTCTCTCTCTCTCTCTCTCTCTCTCTCTCCTCCTCTGACCACCACAAGAGCCCTCCTCGCTCCTCGCCCCTCGCCCCAACAAGGCCCTCATAAGGAACATAAATATGCATGTGATGTCCAGCAATACCTCATTACATCCCGGGAAGAACACAAGAGTTATGACCGGCGGGGAATGACTCTATTACCACCACCTGTGTACTGGACGCTGGGTGTACTGGCCGCTGGGTGTATTGGACGCTGGGTGTATTGGCCGCTGGGTGTACTGGCCGCTGGGTGTACGCTGGACGCTGGGTGTACTGGCCGCTGGTATTGGACGCTGGGTGTATTGGCCGCTGGGTGTGGACGCTTGTGCCGCTGGGTGTATTGCCGCTGGTGTGTACTGGACGCTGGGTGTGGACGCTGGGTGCCGCTGGGTGTACTGGACGACTGGCCGCTGGTGTGCTGGACGCTGGGCGTATTGGACGCTGGGTGTACTGGACGTTGGGTGTATTGGCCGCTGGGTGTACTGGACGCTGGGTGTACTGGGCCTGCTGAGGTGTACTGGACGCTGGGTGTATTGGCCGCTGGGTGTACTGGACGCTGGGTGTACTGGACGCTGGGTGTACTGGACGTTGGGTGTATTGGCCGCTGGGTGTATTGGACGCTGGGTGTATTGGCCGCTGGGTGTACTGGCCGCTAGGTGTACTGGCCGCTTGATATTCAGGACACACGAAGTACTGTACACTTTATATTCTGGACGCTGGAGCAGAGAGTATTTATATGTTCTTACGACCATTATAAGTTCTGTGACTGCCATGTGTTCTTCAGCGTGTTCCCTAAATGTTCATTATAATTAAATATGTTCTTAAGATTACAATTTGTTCATCGACATCCTGCACAACACCGGGAAGAGCATTACGGTTAACAAGAAATGACTCTATACCCACACAGTTGTCTCGTGAACACTGAGAACCAAAGAGACTGTTATGTGTTGTAGACCCAATGGAGAGGTTTAAGGGAGGTGGTCAGGTGGGTTTAACGAGAATCTAAGGTGGTTTCACAGGTATATTTTTTAAAGGGGCTGAAAGAAGTAAAGGCAGCAGTGATGACGTGGTGATTTGTTTTGTATTATTTTGTTTTTGTTTTTTGTTTTTCTTCGGTGAGATAAATCAGTATATTTTTTTATTATTTTTTTTGGGGGGGGGGTATTTTTTTCATCTAATTAATTATCAAAAATTATTTTCAAAATTATCAAATATTCACCTGTGATTCACTCCCAGGTGTAGATTGCAGATAAAAAAAAATACTCATAAAAATCATTGAATTCTCTCTCATTCAGTTTATGGATGGACGTCCATACAGACAAACATACAGACCAACCCATTCTCGTGTACCCCTCCCCACCCACCCCTTCCATTCCGTCAGGTCTAGGAATCCAGCACACAGCGGGGAATAAAAAGAGGAAGAATAGCGAGGAGGGAATAAAGAAAGCAAGAGGGCCTGAGGTGGTGGAAGAGGGATGGGGGGAAGGGAGGAAAGGAGGATAGGGTAGGGAGATTAAGGGAGAAGAGGGATACGAGTAGGGGGAAGAGGGAGGGCGAAGGGAGTTGATAAGACCTAGTACTTTAACCTGGATTTCTTCAGGGAGTTGCCAGGGAGAATAGGCGTATGGGAGGGTCCTGGCTTAGTTGAGAGAGGACCACAACCCATTAACACGACACGACACACACACACTAACACACACACACACACACACACACACACACAACACACACACACACACACAACACACACGGCTCTTGTCCACAGTAAGGTAGAGGAGACAGACAGACAGACAGACAGACAGACAGACAGACAGACAGACAGCATAAAAGAAGAGTTACCTTCTTAGGTTTTTCTAGTTATTTAGTTACTTTTGGGGTAAATATTGATCTCATGAACTTATCCTCACACTCACCTTCACCCTTTACCCACACCCTTCATCCTCACCGTAGAGTTATCCACAGTCATCTTCACTCATCACTCCACCAAACTCCCTCTCCCTCCCTCTCTCCTTCCCTCCCTCCCTCCCTCCTTCTCTCCCTCCTTCCTTCTCTCCTTCCCTCCCTCGCTGTCAGCTACATAAGGACACTCTAACCACACAGCATTATATACCCGGATGCCACAATATCCGCAGTTTAAATTAATAGCGACAGCAGAACCGGACGTGACAAGCTGCAAGTCTCTACATGACACAAGACATCATTGACACCTTGCAGATCTCTATATGACACAAGACACACCATTGACACCTTGCAGATCTCTATATGACACAAGACACACCATTGACACCTTGCAGATCTCTATATGACACAAGACACACCATTGACACATTGCTTTCCTTCATTAATTTATGAACATCAGGACAGGTACAGGTAAAAGGATGCAGGTATATGTTGGGTAATAAGGGCAGGTATAGGTAAAATACATTTAATTACAGGTAATGATAGAACACTCTTCGTAAGTCGCTGTTCTCTCTCTCTCTCTCTCTCTCTCTCTCTCTCTCTCTCTCTCTCTCTCTCTCTCTCTCTGTCACGTTATATAGGAAGTCTTATATACTTAGAGGGAGAGAAGGCGTGAGAGAGGAAGGTAGGAAAGAAGGGGGATAGGAGAGGAGGAGGCTTAAAGGGTGGGAAGGAGGGAAGGCGTGAGGGAAAGAAGAGAGGGAGGGAGGGAGGGAGGGGGAAGAGGAGAGATAATTTACATACGAGTGAAGAAAATGAAAGATACAGGAAAACTAAATAGAAAAGGATAACGAAGGAAATAAAATGGTGGACTAAAAGACGATAAGAATAAAGGAATTAAGAAATGACATTGGCCATAACTAAGGGATGTGAACGGAGGGGTAGCGAGGAAGAGAGAAGGAGAGAGAATAAAAAAGAGAGACAAGGAAAGAAAGAGAAGGAGAAGTGTTAGTGAAGAAAGAGTAGAGAAGAAGATAGAGAGAGAAAGCGAGAGACAGGGGGGGAGGGTAAGGCGGGGAAGAGAGAGAGAGAGAGAGACAGACAGACAGACAGACAGACAGACAGACAAACAGACAGACAGATAGAGACAGAGACAGAGAGAGAGACACAGACCCAGAGAGAGACAGAGAGAGAGAGAGAGACAAAACAGACAGACAGACAGACAGATAGAAAGAGACAGAGATACACAGACCCAGAGAGAGACAGAGAGACACAGAGAGAGAGAGAGACCAAACTTGCCCTCTCGTGGCTCCTGATTGGCTGTCAAGACTCCCGCTGGGGGCAAGTTATTGGGCCCGGGCCGGGTGACGTCACGGCCAACAGCAGGTGAAGGCAATTAACAAACTTTATTATCGAGGAATTAAATACTGACCAGCGCGCACACGGCCATCCCCGCTGTGCTCTCAGACACACGACAAAAACACACACACGCACACACACACGCACACACACACACACACACACACACACACACACACACGCACCACCGTCTTCCTCTTTACAATATTAAATAAAAAGTAAAGATACCTGTTTATGTATCTTTAAGCAAGCCAATTTCTGACCCCCTTTTTTATTGAAGGGGGGGGGTCGTGTTTGTTTGTATGTGGGTATATGTGAGGGAGTGTTTGTGTGTGGGTATATGTGAGGGAGTGGGTGTTTGTGTGTGGGTATATGTGAGGGAGTGGGTGTTTGTGTGTGGGTATATGTGAGGAGTGGGTGTTTGTGTGTGTGGGTATATATGTGAGGGAGTGTTTGTGTGTGGGTATATGTGAGGTGGGTGTTTGTGTGGGTATATGTGGGGAGTGTTTGTGTGTGGGTATATGTGAGGGTGTTTGTGTGTGGGTATATGCGAGGAATGTTGTGTGTGGGTATATGTGAGGGGTGTTTGTGTGTGGGTATGTGAGGAGTGTTTGTGTGTGGGTATATGCGGTGTTGTGTGTGGGTATATGTGGTGTGTGTGGGTATATGTGAGGTGTTTGTGTGTGGGGCATGTGAGGAGTGTTTGTGTGAGGGTATATGTGAGGAGTGTTTGTGTGTGTGGGTATATGTGAGGTGTTTGTTGCTGTGGAATGTGTTTTTTTCTGTTGGGAAGAGTCGGTGGTGTAATTAGGGATTAGGGATTTTTTAATTGTTTTTGTTTTTTTACCGTGGGATTCGTGACCTGGGCATCGGGGGATTTCAATGAGTAGTAAGGAGTGATCAAGTGTGTGTGTGTGTGTGTGTGTGTGTGTGTGTGTGTGTGTGTGTGTGTGTGTGTGTGTGGAAGAGATATAACATACATTAATACAACATTATAAATTCATGCCAAAAAAAATATCGCGGAAAAATTATAATAAAAACAACGAGAAAAAACTATATTATTCTTTAAATAAATGGAATAAAATACATCAGCGTAAATACAATATCAGGTTATATTTTAATATGTATTTTAAAGCTTGTTGAAAATTGTATATATCGTATATTTAAGGTTATAATAAAACTATGTATATTTTCTGTATTCTGTGTATATCAAGGGATTAAATGACTGTATTATTCATGTATATTATGTATACTAAAAAGTTACATAACAGTTAATATCAACTAAATTTCCTCCACCACCAAAATATAGAGATGTACAGAAACTTAAGCTCGTGACTGTACACACAAACATAAAAATCCTAAACCCTTTAATCTGACCTCACCAGACATGTAGAGATTATCGATGAGTTGATTGCAAAAACATATCATGCAGATATCGTAATTCACCAGACTGCAATCATGCAACAACGTGCTACTGACCAGGAATGGAGAGGGAGAGGAGGGGGGAGAGGGGAAGGGAAAGGAGAGAGGAAGGAGAAAGGGAGGGAGAAGGGGAAGGAATGGGGGGATAGGAAGGGAGGGGTTGGTGGAGAAAATGGAAGGGGAAGGGGGAGTAGGTGGAAGGAAAGGGGTAGGGAGGGGGAAGGGATGGGACGGGGGAGGGAAAGAAGGTGGGGAGAGATGGAAGAGGAAGGAGGTGGAGGAAATGGAAGGGAAGGTGGTGGGTTGGGAGGAATGAAAGTTGGAAGGAAAGGTAGAGGAGTGGGAGATGGAAGGAAGGGGTTAAGGAAATGGGGTAGAAAGAGGAAAGGGCTGGGGGGGGGGGCTTGAGGGGAAGGAGACCGTGACCTGGAGACCACAAACAACAGGACGAAGTAGAAAAACACACACAAAAAAATCGTCATGGAAAAGACCTCAAACCTCACTCGTTGGTGTGTCCTTGCAAGCTGATGTGGTCGACTTGATGGCGAAGAGGAGCAAAAAAACAGAGAGAGAAAGAAAGAGCGAAAAGAGTAAGAAAGGGATGACGGGTAAAAACTAAGAGGAAAAAGACTCGATGTAAGGAAGAAGAAGAAATAAAATGTGGGAGAGGGAAATATAAGTGAAAGTAGAAAGATTAAGAGGAATTAAATAAGAAATTACTGAAATAAGAAAGAGGTTGAAGCAAAATAGAGAAGAGGTAGAGGAAAGAAGAGGGGGGTAACCAGATGAAAAAAAGAAACTGAAGAAAAAGAAGAAATAATCCGGGGAAATAATAGAAAATTTTATTCTCTTTTCCTTTTTTTTTTGCATTCGCCTTGCACGCTTCTCCTCTCCTTCCACCTCTTCCCCTCCTCCCTTCACCCTCCCTTTCTCCTTGTTCCTTCCTTTCCTTGAAGATCTTGTACTCCCTTACTCCCCTACCCCCCTTCCTTCCCTCCCTCTTCATCTTATAATTCAAAGCCTCTCTTACACCCTTTGCCCCCTTTCCTTCCTCTCCCCTTCCTTCCTTCCCTCTCCCCCTTTCCCTTCCCTC